GAAAAGAGTGAAGTTGTAGAACCAATTCTTGTAACAATTAATTAATATCTAAAGTAAATGCTTTTAAATTGGCAAGCGTCTTAAATTGACAAGTGGTCTAAATAATCCTAAATGATTGCATTGATCTATTTGCGCATTTTTAAATGAAATTTTTAAAGGTATAAATAAGTAAAAATGTCAATTTACACAAACTTAATCACTGTTAAATATTTTCTTCTTTAAAAATAAACTTAACGAAATCCATAAAGTAAAATTAATAGAAAAATGCGGTATCAACGAACCATGTCAATCGTTTTTTATTACTAGGAAAAAAAACTTTATTGCGAATCATAAAAAAAAGTAATTATTTAAATAAATGATTCGCGATACTACGTGTTATTGCCTTAAAAGATATTAATAAGGCTCGAATTCGAATGAAAATAGTGTGTCACATGTATCAATTCTCATAGCTAAATAACTATGCATTTTTCTAACATTTATGCGTTTTTAAGATTTAAGAAATGGTTATATGACCTTTTTTATAAAATAATCTCTTGAATTATTTCTTTATTCAATTGTCTTTCACTAAAACTACTTTCTTTTTATGTTTAAGTTGGAAAATTCTAGAAGTCTTTTAGGATATTTTATCCTCATTTAAGGAACACAGTGTGTAAAATCAACTTGATCTACTTATGGCGTCATTTTCTTTTTCTCGAAAGGACGTTGGCGATCCGAATTTTCTGACATTTGTCATTTGCTTTATTTTTGTTTCATTCAAATCAAAAAGCACAGACGAAAGCATAGACCAAATTTCTATAGCACGATTCTACTTTCTTCTCTTCTTTTTTTTTAATATATATAAACGGTTAAAGTAATAAATCCGGTTATTATTAATACTAACCGGTCAATATTAGTAATTACTGCTTTATTTGGTCAAAGTGAGAAACGTTGCAACTTATTCACTTTAACCAGTTATTATTAATAATAACCAATGAAGTTTGATCAATGTGATTAAACGGTTTATATAGCTTTGGGACATGGGTGTGTCGCTTTGCATACGTGTTACGGTTAAATTGATAAATCCGGTTATCATTAATACTAACCGGTTAATAACCGCTTCTTTCGGTAAACGTGAGAAATAAAAAGGGAAGATTTCCGTATCGTGATCTGTGGCAGAATAATCGCCAAGACTTGGCAAGTTCCGGGCAACGGCCTGCGAAAAACTTTAAAAAAAAATAAAAGATGAAAAAAAAAACGGAAACGGACCAACTTGAAGGGTATAACTCGTAGCCACCCCCGGGCAAACATCTACAAGTTTTTATTTATTTATTTTTTTTTTTTTTTTAATACTGAAGAAAGATTTCCGATNTTTTTTTTTTTTTTTTTTTTTGCTCCTCGGCTATTGTAGTTGCCGTTGCAGATCACGATACCCAAAATATCCCCAATGAAAACGTAAAAGAATGACATTTGCCAAATTTCATTGTTTATTATTAATAATTAACTTGTCTATCTGATAAATTTGTTTAAATTATCCACTCTAACCGGTTTATTTGGTTATTATTAATACTGACCGGTTAGTATTAACATCAATCTCCAAGATAGTTTCGCTTTTATCATTGTTTCACCAAAAAACGTTGGTATTTTTCACGAAAAACAAATAAATTCTCGTCAATCAAGAAGATATATTTATCAAGAAATTTTTTTTAAAAATAAAAATACTTCTTATTCCCACTTTTATCTAATGTAGTTTATATTTCATACGTTTACTTTTCACGACACCAGTTATGAAGACAAGCGTGTAAGTAGGCTCATCTTCTGTGATATGTCGATGGTAGCATTTACGGTAAATTCTGCAGCACCTCCAGGTTAGAAGGAGGATTACTAAAATTTTCCGTCTTTTTCTCAATACCAACAGGACAGTAATCTTCGATTTAACTATCACTGTGAATAGTGTTGGTCAGCCGTGTGGTATATCTGCAAGTTATTTGCTATTCTATGATGAAAGTAAAAATATTCTGGTAACTAAAAACAAGTTTTCTTCGTTTCAGATAAAAAAGAAGGATTAATTTATTAATGCAGATTTTTTTTTTGCGGAAAGTAGTACAATTGACATAGCATTTTCAGCATTTCAATAATGATGAATTTAGCAGCTTTTCGATTATAAGACAGATATTATTGTTGCACGAAATTCATCTTAATTTGACATACTTAAAGCAAAATGTGCACATGTATGGTCTTTAAAAAAAAAGACCATACATGTGCATAAAAGCTGTAAGCTGTTTAAATTTAAGTTGAGATACAACGATTCTTAAAAAAACATTTAATATAAAGTTAAGTCTGCAATCAGGTAACAGAAAAAAACTCACTTTTAAGTCTTTGCCATGTTCTCTCATTTCAACTTTTGAATTAGTATGAGTAACAAGATTAGAGATGTTTTAAGAAGGAGTCTCAGAAACTTGTCCTAATTTTTCGTTTGTTTGTTTTTTAAAAATGAAAAGAAAACTTAGATAATAATCTACTGATGTTGTAATAATCTCGAGAGCCCAGTATCGTGCTGGAGGTTTTAAAAAAAATCAAGCAAAAAGTATCGAAATTATTAAAAATTATGCACAGGTGGCACCTTGGTACATATTTCTAGGTTTAATAACCACATGGTTCAAAAATACTATCTACTAAATGAACAATGACTGAAGCATTTGTAAATCTTCTCTTTTATGACAAAATGAAAGTTTGTTAATTAGTTTCATAAATCCATGCTCAGGAAGAAAAAAAATAAAATATTTTTTTTTTTTTAATTTATGAAATTTCTTTTCTTATGTAAATGTATGAATGCATAGAATTGTAACTTTTGTTGTGATGTTGCCTAATGGTTAAAGTCAAATTTCGAAGAAAAAATTATTCTGTTGTTGCCATAAGGTTTTTAGAAATTGTCGATACCCCAAAAAATAACTCTGATAGAATTTCTGTTCACTTGATTATTATATGAAAATAGAACCTTAAAAACGATTCATTATTTCAGAAAATTTCAAACAGAAAGGACAAAAATTAAGAGCCCAGAAACATTTTTTAAAGTACCATTTATAGCCTTTAATTAAAACTAAATTCTTTTTCGAAACTATGTAATCATAAACATTTTTAGAGAAAAATGCGATTAAAATTAGTAGTATTATTTTGTTTTAGACTGCTAAATGACTTATAATTTTATTTTAATGACTTTTATTGATATGTGGATTATATTGGAATCATTGAAATCTTATGGCTGTTTTAATTTAACTAATTTATTTTAATAATTAAAATTTTCGAATTCCCTTTCATGGCTTTGGTTACCGAAACGTTCTTCATTCTACAATTGTTATTATTTTGAAAAATATTTATATTTATTGTGAAAATAGTGGTGAGCAAAATTATCAGTCTGGCTAGTAGAACTGAAATTTAGTGTATATTTTCCCCAGTCATACATCTAAGCAAAATCATACATCTAAGGAATGCTTCAATATTTCTACTTTTTTTTTTAAAAAAAAAAGTTCTATTTTAAATTTGGGTATAGAAAGGAATCGTTTCGTATGAAATATATCTCATCAGCACTATATCTCAATATATTATAGAATTTTTAAGCCAATTCATTTCTTTGAGGAATATTGTAAATAACATGACGTTAAATGTCGGAAAATATGTGATTGACAGTTTTTATAAATTTGTAAGGGAATTGGAATATTTTTTAAATACTAAAACCTATTTTAAAAATACAAAAATTATTATTGCTACTCCAAAACTCGCACCTGCAAGCGAGTACATTTGAAAGGCGTAACAGCAGGCCGTAGGAATCAATTAGTTCTATAGCTTTAAAATAAAAAGTTTCTCAGATTGAAGCAATGTTAAAGGTAACATTGTTGCACAGAAAAGCTGCAAAGTTTTGCAAAACTTTGGATCTAAGAAAGTTTGTTGGGGAATGCTAATCAATAAAGCTAATATAAAAAAATTTAAATTTTAAATAATAGAAATTTGCTCATAAAAGTTTTATTAGTTTTAAATGACGTGGTGATTAAAAATTACTAATAATATTAGAGAATGATATCAATTTTATTTTTATGCTAATTATAAATTATTGGTTTAATGTAACGTATAAAACGCCTTGCATCTTAGAAATATTTTGCTTGTATTTAATTCAATCTCTTGCCTCTTAACGGAATAATCAGGCTCTGTTTATGGAAAGCGTTATATTTATGATCCAACAAACCCACGCTGAAAACGTGTGCTCAACACCTTTTAATAGAGCTTTTAAATGCATTACAAAATTATTTAACCACCACAACACTCGAGATTCCAATAAATCAGTATTTATTTTCTTCCTGATGTCGTTAGGAAACAACAACAAAAAAAATATCTTCCTTCCGACAACCACTAAACAAACTGACATAAGTCTTTTTAATTATTGTCCGGTGACAGTAAAGAGTTCGCTTTTAAGAAATTAAAATTCCACACTTCCTTCCTCCAACCCCTAAAATAGAATATTCGTAAAACGGTCTCTTCCGAGATCGGCATTTAACAGAGCAAGAAGTTGTCAGCTTCCTGTCTCTTTCGCCATTTTTTTGTCGAACAAAATCGTTTTCGGAAATCGATGAATTAACATCCTTCAAGAAGCGGGGAAAAAAATTAAAACATTCTTTTTACTGATTGAGAATGTTGTGGGTGCATAGACCATGAATAAAAACATAGCCACCCCCACACCTCCCTCCATCTCTATTCCGTGATTGGGTGGACAAGTTGAGTAGTTCATTGTTTCCTGGTAAAACCATGCTCTCTATATTTTAATGAAAATCGTTTTCCCTCTTCTCAATGTGACTTAAGAACATCAGGTGTGAGAGTTTCAGTTTCATTCTTTGTGCTGCAATCGCGGCATCGTGAGTTGCTTAAAAATTGAATTTTAAAAAAATTCTCGACACTTTATATAAACATCAAATATTAAAAAGGTAAGCCCTTGACTTAGCTTACAATTCTTTTCAGAGAAGTTTCTTATTTTTGAACATATAAAATTTACATTCTTCCTTTATTATTATTTAATGAAAATGTTCTAAGCCAAACGACTTTTGAATTGGAAATATTTTGAGCCAAGAAAATAAAACATTAATATTCGTTTTATTTTAGAAATTTATTTTTAAATCTACTCCAAATGTTTTTTAAAATTATAGTAGCGAAAAAAAAATTTAAAATATAATGATGGTTAGAGAAACTACAATGTTATTACAAAGGTACGAAAGCGTATCATTATTTAGTTTATTTTTTACTAAATTAGTTAGAACTGTTTTAATCTTTTAAAACGATTTCTGGGTACTTGAATTTTTTTTAAAAAAAATTGTGGTCACTTCTTATAAGTGGGAAATGTTAAAACTTTCGATTTTTTCTTTCCATTTTTTTCTTTTTCTATTGTGACTACTAATATCAATTTGTTATCTCAAAAATGTGTTTTAATTCTTCACTCAAGTTGTTGATTTATTTATTCTTTATACTGATTTATTGAATTTTTGTACGATTTTATAAATAACCTATTTTTATCTATAGTTAACTAATAATTAAGAAATTTAACGAAATCAAGTAACGAAATCAAGTCACCTTTCATTTTTAAAAAAAATTTGCAGTTTGTGATTAATAAGTATAAGTCGCCCTTAAGCGTCACCTTTAGACAGAAAAGAAATTTTATTTGTTAATTTGCGTAGATAATTATACGCACAGAATTTATTTATATGTTAAGAAACTAATATTTTTGATATATTTAATCTATTAAATGTCTTTTATTGGACACAGTTATTAAATTTTAAGGTTGCAAACATTTTTAAAATTAAAACTTTCTTAAAATTTACGTTTTAAAAATATTTATAAACTGAAAATTCGGCTTCTTTGTTCAATAAAAAATAAATTTCAATAATAAATTTAAGTAAAATGTTCAAATATGCTAATTATTTGCGTAATAAATAAGGAAGTTTCAGAAATATTATTCCCCATAGTTAAGCATGAGGGTAGTGGAATCTTTTTTTCTGTCTAATTGGAATCCTTAATAAATGTTATTCAAATGTGCTATTAACATAAGTTTTAATGAGTAAAAAACAATCTGTGTTCCTTAAAATATTTTTCAAAGCATAAAAAAGGCTCATTTAAATAAAGAGGTTATTACATAAACTTTATAAATGGATAATTATATAAATTGACATTTTATTGAATTTAAGATTAAAAAAAATTACATTTTTTAAACTGTTATAAATGCTTATTGGTTAAGATTTTGCACCACGGAAGTGATAAAGTTTAAATAGCTTCCAGTGGCTTATCTCTTCTCTACTTCATGTATTATGAGCTTCATTTTTCAAACAAAAAGTGTGAGTTAATTTTTAAAAAAATTTAGAGCAGCTGTATTACTTTTTTTAAAAGTATACTTTAATTCTATTCTAGCCTAAGTACCCTCTTGTGACTTAAAACAACGTTGAGAAACTAATGAACTCTATGATAAAACAATATTGTTTCGGAAAAATATGCAAATTTTTCATTTAAACAAATATTTGAATTCTGGCTTATACAAACCATAATAAATTGAATTCATCTTCTTTAGGAGGGATTATTGCTTTTACCAACCTCAGTTATGTGAACAATAAACAATGCTACGACCAATACCGGCACTCTTTATAATTGTATACTCGGCATTAAAGCTCAAATACTACTGATATAAATTAATTTATTATTACGTTACTACTGTACATGTTTTTGCTCGAATGAAATCCTCAAAATTTAATGTTTTAATTGAACCTTTTGCAACAGCAAATTTATTTTATCACGCAAATTATTTTTGCTGCTGATTTTTTTGAGGAAAATGCGACACGTGTGCGCGAAAAGAAGAACGCAAAAAGAAAAGAAAAAAAGAACAAGAAAATATTGTTTCATTATTTTTGCGTGTAGTTTTTGTATTTTTTATATTTGTTATTATTATTAAATATGTTGTTGAAGATGCGTTAATTCAGTCATTAAAATGGTATATGCAAAGGTTTGAAAATTAGAAACCGATGAATAAAAGAATTTTTAAGTGAAGCATTGACAAAATGAAACATTCAAACAATTATTTCTGAAAACTTTCAATTGCAAATCATACAATTATAATAGTTAACGCAACTCATTAAATTAACCTCACTAATGAACTTTCGCAAATAAAGAAATATGCGAATGCTGAAATGGTTAGGGGTTCCTTATTATTTTACCAAGCTTATTTCACTGTATCTATCTGTGGAGTTAATTTGATTAAACCTTAGAAGAGAATGAAAGATAAAGGATTGTTACGTGGTTATTAAAATAAACACAAGACAAACTTGATTTTAAAACAGAATACAAGTTGAAGCTTAGATCGTGGGTGTATGGGTTGAAAAAAATTGCTATGTTTACTACGCAAACTGTCTTTTTTTGTTTAAATTTTTTTATTTTTTTAAAAGAATTATTAAATATATGTTTAAGCTCTGCAGCAAAAAGTAATAATTAGAGCAATTGAAATCATATAATTATTGGTGCTACAATCATTGTAAAGCCCTGACTTCCTTTAAGGCTTTTTGTCTTTCCACGCTAGTAGTTACCACTTTTTCTTCTAACTTTCAATTTCTCCAAGTTTATCTCGACTTGATGTCTTCATCTAATTCTTGGCCTTTCTCTGTGTCTAAAAAGATATCACCTATCTAAATTTACTTAATTACTGAAATTTTCTAGAAAGAGCCCCTCTAGAAAGAAATCTAGGTGTACCCCTCTTGCAATATAAGGAGGCTTATAACCATTAACACTGTGCTGCAGTGTTAACAGGAAAAAAATCTAAACAAATATACGAAAGCAACATCGGGGAAAAAAACTAAAAGATTGTACCGGAATAAGTAGATTAAAAAAATAGTTTAATATAACCAACGCAAAGCATTTTAAAGTTTTTTTTCTCCATTATTATACTCAAATTAATTATGCTTGCACAAACAATATTAAAATGCTTTTCGTTATCATTTGTTTTGTGTAACTTCATATTTCATTTTTTTTTCAAATTTTTTTTCTAAAGGTACGGAAATCTACCTGATGATATCTTCTTTTTTTTATTTTCAGCTGACCAATATGAGTAAAAATATTAGAAAATACAGTATTTTTCTTGCAACTGTCCAAATATGTTGCCTTTTGACACCATCACATGCTATGTTTGATTTCTTCGGGGGAGGAGGTGGTGGTGGTGGGGGAGGCTCCGATGTTGCTGAGATATTAGCCGCAGGACTTATTACTAAAATGCTGATGGAAGACTTTTTTCATATTCAAGGTGCTCCACTACTCCAGTCATTGCGTCATCAGTTCATTGGCGGATACAGTCCACGTCATCCTCCTGTCCATCATCAAGTTCGCCACTACCCTCACATGATTGCTCCAAGAGTTCCGATGGCAATGAGCGCGCAATACGTCTACCCAATGGTTCCACGTCATCCAGTCCATTTGATGAGTCAAGCTTCCTACATGCAACAAGCCCGTCACCCAATAGTTGCAGCACCATGGAATGGACACTATGGAGACCTTCGTGGATCAGAAACATTTGTAAATGCCTACCTTCCAGTGCAGCAAGAACGCAACACTCCTCCATTTATTGAGGCTTTATTAACAAATGAAGCACTCTCAGCAGCAACTCTTCTTCTCAACTCCGACATTTTGGAAGATGATGAAGAGGAAGAGGCGGAAGTCGAAATGAAGGAAGAAGTAAATGATGTTTCAGAAGTTCCGGAGAAGCAAGTTGAAAACCGATCAGAGACTTTCGAAGCATCCGGAAGTGAGAATGAATCCAGGTATATATTGCCACGAATTGTTCGCCACTTTGTTCAACGAATCATGAGGAGGGTTGAGCAACACCGATAAATTACAAGAAAAAGGAGAAGAAATTATTGAGATGATTAACGATTTGCATGAAGAAAGGAGAAGATATTATTAAGACGACTAACGATTTACACGAAGGAAGGATTTGTAGGATGATATAATCATATCAAAAAGAACTAAAACATGCATGGCATTATAAAGATTGTTAATTTGCTGCTAATTATTGAGGTTTCGTGTTTTATTTAAGAGAATGTAATTCCGTATCACTCTTTTATAAGTACAAAAACAAATGGGTGATACATCTGTCAAAATTTCCTCAAGTTCTGTCGTAACTTAAATTAAACTAATGATAAGTGAGCTGAAATATTAATTGGTACAAATTAAGTTAGACACTTTTCAATATTTCCATACTTTCTTCCTTTTAAATTTAACTATCAAACTTTACATTGGTTATTTAATATAATGATTTGAATTGCAAATAATTTTTTCGTTTATCGAAGTGATTAACAATTTCAAATAATTCAATGAATTGTTTACTATTGAGTCTAATTTAGTTCATATTATTTTGCATACTTTATCACTCTTTCTGTACTAACATAATACTTTTTTAAACAAAATTTCTTTCAAAAATACAAAAAAAGCAATACCTCTTTCAACTCATTGTATTTAGTTATGATTCTTACTACCATTTTGTGTTTTATTATTTTAAGAATTTATGTTATATTTACAATTTAAAAAGTCCTTTAATGTTAAACTTCATATGATGCTTGACTTAGCTTGCAATTTTTAAATAAATTACGAATTGCAAAAAGAAAAACCCCCTCCAAAAGAATAAATAAATGAAAGACTAGAATTGTAATCGAAGGGAAATGGGAGAGTAGTACAGTCTTATGAATTAACAGCTCTTTCGAAATCAAGCTCTTAAAAAACAGTTCTTTCTTTATGTATTAATCCATCAGTTTTCATTTCATTTTCTTATAACAAATGTATCCTCATATTCAAATTTAGAATTATTTAATTTCTTTAAAAAAATTGCTTTTTGCTCTTTAAAGTGTAATTTCTTTGCAAAAAATAACAACTACTCTCTACTAGCATTGAAACATTACATCGATTTTAAGACGGGGGGAAAATTTGCATTATACACAGGTTTGAACTTTTTATTTTGGTATAAAATCTAGTTTTCTATAAAAAACACTTTTTGGAAGATAATAATTTTACTTTATTGCTCATAAATTATGGAAATTTAAATTTTGATGTGTTTCTTATACATAAAGGAATACTATTATAAGTTTTGATATTTTGAAAGCTCAACCTTAAGACCCTCGATAGAAATTATTGCCCAATTTTCGATAATTTATAGCATCAAAAATAATAAGGATATTTCTTCTACTTCAGAATGCTCGGTAACTTACATCACTTATCAATGAATCTTGTGTTAGCATTTTTCATGTAATTTTTTTGAAGTATTTATTTTAATTGCAACTAATTACTGCTCTACTGCCTGAATTTGGTTATATTACTGCATTTTTTCCTTAAAAACAGTTATTCTTTCACTTATTTTCATCAACTTATCGAAGAATATTTCGGTCATTAGTTTCCTTTTCGTCTTGCATGTAACAGCAATTAACTTTATTTTATTTACTAACCTGACTAACATCTTTCGACAACTTCTTTTACTCTAGGATTAATATCTTAAAAACTTTCCAAGTCTAAGTGTCTTTTTTAATTCCTTCATTTTAATTTTTCTTCTACTTTAACATTCGTCTACTTTCATAATTATGTATTAATTTATATTTAAGAAATATTATTAGCAGCACTTATTTAATTTTTTAATTATATAGAAAAAAAGTTTTGCTCTTGCTTCTTTTAAGGCAGTATCGGAAAAAAAAATTGTGTAAAATCTAGTCTAATTTTTTTAATGTCATTGAAATGCCCAAATATTTTTTATCTGGCTATTACAAAATTATTCTCAATTGGATAATTCACTTAATATGTAATCTGAATACTACAATTTCTTAAATGAAGAAAAAAAAACTTTTTTTTCTCTACTACTCTTTTTCAAATGATAATTTTTAACGTTTCTTCCATATTTGTAATTTATAACCAAAACTCGGTACGCAATTCATTTAGAAATTTACACTTATTTTTTTAGAAATTAACATTAGTTAGATGTTTTATCGCGGTTCTGGTCTTGAATAGGTTGCGTAATTCATAAGTTACGTAAGTTGCGTAATTCATAGAATCATAAGAATCATAACAACGATATTTTCAATTTAAGATACCAACGATATTTCGAATACCAACGATATTTTGAATACCAACGATATTCTTTTAAATTCTTTGACTATATTAGATTGTATATATGTAAATATGTGAAAATTATTGTACAGTTGATAATCGTAATTGACTTTTATTTTACCTGTTATATGCATTTGTTTTGCTATAGATATGTATTTAGTTGCATATTTTTTACAAATAAATTGTAAATTAATAAGGTAAAAGTTTATAAAATCACATAAAAATTATTATATGACACGTGAATTTTAATTTATAATTTTTACCAATTACGTACACATAAAATTGATCTCTGATATATGTTTGTAAAGTTAACTATAATGAATTTTCATTAGAGACTTTCAGTAGAGTGCTTTAAATATATGTAAATATGTATATATGTTAAAATAATATTGTTGTATTAAAAGATCATTTAACGTTTAAATAAATAAGAAATGAATAATTTAAAGGTTTCTTGGGTAAGTTATTTATTTATTTTAAGAACTTTGGATTATTACAAGGATCTCATCTACGATAGAAGTGAAATGTTTTTTCCAAATATTTACATGAAAGAAACTATTTTTACAGAAGTAAAAATTTTTTTGTTAAATATAATTACAACATAAAAAGAAAATAAGCAACAAAAAAAAACTCGGTGCAAGATAGCTAATAATTAATTAAAGATCATTAATAAATTACGGAATTCGGAGTTACTTTTGGAAAATTATAACAAAGGTCCAATATGCTCTAACCTGGAATGATGAAGTATATAAAGAAAATGCTGGTACAAAAGCTATTTTGTTTCCTTTATAAGTTTAAGAAATTAATTACAACAAAAAAATTGCTTTAATATTTTAAAATTTGGGTGTTTGTAAAAATAAGTGCAAATTTTCATTAATTTAATTCAATCAAACATATTTAATCGTTATTTTAAACCGAAAATATTCTCTTAATAGACTAAAAATATTTACTAATTCATCTCAATTTGTTTTTATAATTAACTAAATTATATTGTCTCCTAATTAATGTATTAAATTGATATTAACTACAAGTTCTAACAAGTTCCTAAAATATTTATTCTATTTAAAATGCTTCCAAATATTTCACAACACAATCAGTCATAATTTAAAAATTATTATATATCATGATTTTAAGCTCTTAGCATCACTTCAGGAAAAGCAATTTAACCCAGTCAATACAGCAAATATTTTTGGAGACAAAATCTTCATAATCCATTTTTTTTTGCTATATATTAACCATTTTCAATTAAACAAAAAACATCTTTGCAATCGAAGGGAATCGTTTTGTAATTCTTATTCATACAAATTATACAACAGAGGTGAAAAGTTGTCGTTTTTTTTTAAAAAGTGGTGAAATAAATATCGCGAGTACAAAAAAAAGTAGTTGGTAGCGATTTGTGGCAACTTCTTTTAACGTTAGTGCTGTAACGAAACAAGGGTCAAATGTAACTAATTTTTCGGTTTTGATTGGTACGAATCTTTGCTGGTAAGTCAATGGGCGTTATTTGAATGCCCCTGTAGCCGAGCGTTAATAAAATTACAAATAAATAATATTTTAACTGGCCATAACAGCTAATTTATCATTTTGACCACACCGGAAATTGCGAAGCTTTGATGCTTCGCAATTGAATCTCTGACGCTCGTGAAGTTTTGATGCTATTTCAAAGGAAGGGAACATATTTTCTCGGTAATTTTCAATATAGGGTAAACCAACCAGTGAAGGAACACTACCTAGTGAAGGAACATTTCATATATATTGATTAAAAATAAGAATTTGAAAGTTTTTCTTTAGATTGATTGGTAACAATAGCTTACTGCCAAACAATAGGAAGTCATCTAGCGATGTTTTGCATTACCTGGTCAAATAGACTTCTCTGGAAAAATTTTTGAATTTGTTATTATCTCTGCAACACCTTGTTTCTTTGAAAAAATTATAAGGTGAGTGTTTGCATGTATATGTTTGAAGTGGAATTAATTGCATGCAATAGTTTTATTTTTCTCACTGTGAAAAAGAGAATTCAAAAGATAGTTATTGAAGTTACGTTTTATTTTTTTGTAGAGCATCATAGCATAATAAAGTACTGAGATAAGGGGGTGTTTATTCACTGGATCACCAAACGATGAAAAACCAGAGAAGGAACAAGTGTTCCTTTAATGGATGTTTTTCTAAGTTAATGAAGATAAAAGATAAACTTTAATTTTCTTGTACCTTTAGTGATGTTCCGCATCAAAAGTATGTTAAAAATACGAAAAACAACTTCTAACCAGTGAGGGAACATTCATGTTCCTTTACTGGGCATAGATTTCCCAGTGAATGAACAGTATGTGTTGATACATATGTTGATACTTTACATATGTTGATACATATGTTGATACTTTACATATGTTGATACATATGTTGATACATATGTTGATACTTTAATTTTCAATTCATGATTACAAAAAAAAGTTAAAATTTTCCTAGTATTTGTGTGTTATAATTTCAAGAATAGGCTTGCTTTTAAATATTTGTATGGCTTATAAATTCATAAAGAGCATTAAAAAATAACCAAAATTAAGTGTTCCTTTACTAGGAGTTCATTCACTGGTAAGAGCTGTTCCTTCACTGGGTCTTCTTATTACTTGTTATTTGAACCTCCAAAACTTTAAGGCAATATTATGTCAGTTCTCTACAATTTTTGTTACATAATTTGCAATAACTAACAAATATGTTGACACTGTCATTTAACTAAAATTACGAATTTTGAAATTATTATGATTTTTTAAAAGGGAAACGAAGCTTAAGTGTTCCTTCAATGGTTAGTTTACCCTATTTAATTTCTTTGAGAAAATAAAATAGCATTAAACGCTTAGCAAAACAGAAAATATTCGATAATTTCCCAGCATTTCTTAAATTAAATATTTGCTTTCGAGAAAGGCATAAAATATTGAATTGTAAAAGGAAAAATTCGCAAAAAAAAAAGTTTAGAAAAACAAAAAGTCTCATGTAAATGTGAATAACAATTTCTTAATTAATCCTGTTTAAATAGTTCAATTTCTTATTCAAAACCATTTTGAACATGGATGTTAATTGTATTCTCAAGCAAAGTTCTCCTGAAAGTAATGAAGTATAGTGACTATATTTTGAAAGTAGTTCGTTGTTAACTACATACACTTGTAGTAAAGTATATGTGAGGTGTTTCATCTAACATCTGTGGAGAGGTAGATATTTACTACATGAAGGTGTTTCGTTTCCAACCTAGGTTATGACTTATCTAGCTGAAGTATCTTTTTTCAAACCTGTGAAAGTATTAATTCAACAACCTAATGTGTTTCATTTAACACTTCAGGTTATTCTGGAACTACCTCAAGTGTTTTTTTTTTACAGTTGTAAAGGTAATTTTTTACTAACGTGCAGTTATTATATTTCAACCTCAAGTATATATTTTTATGATGTAGAGTAAGGGTATTTTTTTGTCATTTAAGATGCGTCATTTCACACATCAAGTTATTAATAAATCAAACACAAGTGTATTTTTCGACCGTTAGACAGGTTGTTTTTAATGAACGTAGGTGTTTGATGTTCTACTTTAGGTTATTATTTTTCAACCTCAAGTATAGATTTATACAGTTGTCGAGGTAATTATTAATCTTCCTAAGGTAACACTTTTGGTTTTGGTTGTTATAAATCAACCAATTTTGTATCGGGAAATAGTGTATCGGAAGAAATACTCTCAGAATCTTGCCCTTTCGCTAAACCGCCAGTGGGTTAACGTGAGGTGTTCCATGTTCTATCCTAGGTTATATTATTTCGTAACCTCAAGTATATATTTTTTTATTTTTAGAAGTATTAATTTATCAAAATAAAAATACGACATTTTACACTTCATGCTTGTCTAGCTCAACCTAAAGCTGTATTTTTAATATTTACGAAGGTAGTAATTCCCAAACGTGAGGTGTTATGCGGTCCACCAAGTTTATTAATGTTTAACCTTACTATTAAACATATTATATATATTATATAAGGAATAATGTGTATCTTTAGATTTTTTCACTAGTAGAGATCTTCATTTATCAGCCTGATATTACACTTTCGGCAGTAATCGCTTTTTTTTTGTTAGTAAAAGAAAGTTTCAAATTTATAATTCTCCTGTAATTTTAATAGATTCAATGAAATCATCCTGAAATGACGCTAATCCGAATTCTACAGTTAAAAAAAATTTATTTGTGGGAAATTACATTTTTATAAGATAGATTTCTAAGGTGAATATATAAATTAATTTAAAAATATAAATTTAAATAATTTGTCAACTGAAGTTCAAAATACTTTTATATAAAACCAAAATTTCATTTTTCTTTTTTTTTTAGAAACCAACAAAAATATCATAAATATTGATTTTGTCTCCCTGTAGAAACTTGGAAGTATTGGAACCTAAAACAAAAAATATATAAATTAGTAACAAAGTCATATTTACAATTATAGCGGCGGTTTTTAAAATATTAGAAATTGTTTTTTTTTTTTTTCAAGACTTAAATTAACTGAATGAAATTAATTTTCCTTTCCAGTTAAATGCCATTCCACTTCCGCCATTTCTATTTAATCCTCCTAGCTGAAAGCGTTTAAAAGTGTGTCAGATACCACAGTCAAAAAATAAAATACGCTGAAGAAAGTATTACCATTAACAATCTTTGTAGAAATTGAAATAGATAATTTCAATCTTATTTGGAAATTTTAACACTCTTTATTTTTCCATAATTGAACCTACATCGTTGATTATGGTACTTGAAAGTTTAATTATCAGATTTTCCTTCCTTTTTTCTTACAAATCTCTAAACTCAATAAGACAAGTCTATATTTTAGAATTTTTTGTCAGACTTCATGAAACAAGTAGTTCTTAATAAATTTTTGGCACTGATTCTGAAAAGGACTTTCAATATTGTCAATCACATCAGAGTTTCTTGAGAATTTTAATATTTTAATCAATGTAATCAAGAATTAACAATAGTTTAATAACCTAAAATTTTAAATTTATGTACCAAGTTTATGAATTTTTCACGCTCAATCGAATTACACTATCCACAAACTGATGGGAGCATTTGTTTTAAAATTGTGATCAATTTTATGAGAAAAAAATGTCTAAGAGAGAGCAATTTGAAATAATGCTTTTAAAAGAAGTTGAGTAAAATATTTCCTATGTAACTTAAAATACCGAGAAAATAAAACTAATTGTTAGTTGCTACAATAATTTGCTTAAATATAAAAACCTATCTCATCAGAAGAAATTTTAAAAAAAACTGCATATAACTTTCAAACAATGAATGCTTTTATTTGCAATTGATTTTTATTCAATTTAGCATTAAAATTAAATAAGAAACAATATTGACCGATTTCTAAAAAATTTAAGATTTCCGAAATTCGTTAATTTTTTAAGTAATATGAACCATAAGCAGCTGCATAAAAATGCTCATAACCTTGATACAAATTGTCATATGAACTTGAAATCGGGTTTTATTTAATTTTGCTTAATATTCTAACAAGTAATAACAGTCTGCTTAGTAAATAATTAATATGGGTAAATTGCGAAAAAATAACATGTAGTGAAAAATAACAGTTCTGTGATCGAACATGAAAAAATGAAGTAGTACAGTTACTATTTTTCAATTATCGAGTATCAGGCAAACTACTGTTAAGAAATTACATAAATTCAGTAGTTTATTATGTGAGATTACTTTTTCTTTTTGGTATAAATTCAGAACTATTACCCAGGGGAAGGCTGAGCAGTAGCTTGCTAGCCACTTCTTCATCGATGCTGCACATGTGCTATTTAAGCCTAGGTCATCTCAGCAATATTAGGGAACTACTAGTGGATAAAAGCTCTGTA